TCTTTAAAATGTAGTTCTGAATTCTAACTCCCTTATTAGTTTTGAATAGAGTTTCATCCAAAGAAAAATACCCAAAGTGTCAACTTTGGTATCGTTTGTTTGTGTTTGCATTTTTTTCTGATTCTTTGAAAGATTTTTTTCTGGTTATGTTGTATTGAAGAATAATTTTTAATGACTTTGGATTAACCAACGAATATTCACACCTACTTGTGTTAGTAATGTTACCAGTGGTGGGCTATGTGCTTGTATGATTATTTAAATCATGGTCCAAGTTCTTGTTTTCTTTGAACAACTGCTCCTTGTGAGACAAACATGTCTAAGTTAAAAAAATTCATCAGTTTTGAGAAGGAAAGTGAACTATGGTGTATCAGAAGCATCTAGATTTCCTGAATTTTAGAAAGAATGCCTACTGGTAATTCCTGTAATATTTTTTTAAAGATTTTATTTAGTTATTTGTAAGAGTTACACATAGAGAGAAGGAGAGGCAGAGAGAGAGAGAGAGAGAGAGAGAAAGAGAGAGAGAGGTCTTCTGTCTGCTGGTTCACTCCCCAGTTGGCTGCAACAGCGGGAGCTGCACTGATCCAAAGCCAGGAGCCAGGAGCTTCTTCTGGTTCTCCCACAGGGGTGCAGGGGTCCAAGGACTTGGGCCATCTTCTACTAATTTCCCAGGCTATAGCAGAGAGCTGGATTGGAAGTGAAGCAGCCGGGGCTCGAACTGGCGCCCATGTGGATGCTGGGACTGTAGGCAGTGGCTTTACCTGCTATGCCAACAGCGCTGGCTTCTGCTTAGTTATCTTTGAAAGCAAAGTTAGAAAAAAAGATTGTGCAAAGTTAGAATTTGGTTGAAAGTTGTGAGCTGCAAAGGGATACTGGAGTCTATCTATTTCAAACTCCCGGTATTCTAGGAAGGAAAATTAATACCTAAAAAGAGGTGAACCTTAGTCAAGATCACACAACTATCTTCCCCTCTCCCATCCATGGCTGGTGACAGAGCTAGTAAGTCATAAGTCCATGGGATTGAACATGAACTAGATGCTACATAATAATTTTTAATAATAGAAAGTCTGCTGTCAGTTCACTTTCTGGCCCCAGGGTCTCTATCTCCCTCTCAGGGACTGATATTTTGCTTCATTTATTTCCTGGAACTCCACATTCACTTGACTAAGATAACATGGCCATCAAGCTAATGACTGACTCAGAACAGCATTTCCAGAAATGTGAGCTCTGTGGGCTCCTAATTGGGATTCTCTGAGGAAAAATAGTTGATGCTCAAATTTTCAAAGACTGCACTAAGCCAGTATACATGGTTATTTCCTGCCGGACTTGTCAGAGCCTTTAATGTGCTAATGTGCATCCCCAGTCTCTAGCACGTGAGTCACATCTTCATGGCTTACTTGACTATTTAACATGTTTGCATCTTTCTCCAATCCCGACATCTGAGAATGAATGGGTCTTAAATTATTATCCTTCCAAAGACACCTGCATTTTGATAAGGAATACTTAAAGAAGAAATTATTTGTTGAGCTGCTAATTTCTCTTAGGATGTAATATCTTTAAGTTCAGAAAAAAAAAGTCACTAGTCTCTAGAATTACCAATGCACAGAGTAAACACACAAGATCCATCTATGTTTGTTAAGTGAATACATGAAAATATTCCCAGTCCCAAAAGGCTTACCTTTTAGAAGTAGAATTTGAGCCACCAATGGCAGCTACATTAAATTTCTGTTACTCTCCAATTTTTGGTCATTGATTCTGCAGTTTTGGGGTAAGAGTTACTAAGAAAAACAAAGAAAAACTTATAAAGTAAATTATTAAGGGAAATATTGCATGAATGTAGTCCTTTTGTTCTCTTTGTTACTAAAGAAAATTCAATATTAACCAAATTGGTTTTTATGCTTTGGGGAGACAGATCAGGCAGCAGGGATAGAGGAGCAGAGCTGCAGAAGCAAAATGGGAGGATTATAAGGAAAAAGGCTAAGATTGAGAAGCGCTCCTTTTCCAAAGACTAGAAGTAGAAGGAAGCAGCCGCCTTGGGGTAGAAGAAAATGCGGGCGACATAGATGCGAAGAAGAATTTTGAAGATATTTTTCTGTGTAACACATCCACACACTCATTTCCATACACTATGCTTTTGGAGTTTCATGAAGGGCAAAGGGTAATCTGGCTACACTTTCTCCTGGACTTCCTGCAGAGTCTGGGCCATGGGGCCCTATGATATCTGGGTTACATGACCAAAAGAAGGGAGATAGGAGAGAACAACAGAATCCTGGCTAGTTTTCCATTTCTCACAAGACTGGACATTTTCTCATACAAATCTCATGATCCACTCTCACCTCCCATCTCCCCAGTGCTATGCACAAACAGAAGAATGTGACTGCTTTTATTAAATGTTTTTCAAAGTTGATTTTTAATATTTTACACTACTCACACAAGTTCATAGAAGGCTGTTTTATAATGCTCACATATCTAAAGATAGAGGTGTGTGCCAAGTATGAAGAATCCGAATGAGTTCATAATCAACATAAGCAACCTCCTGCACCAGAGACAGTTCTTGGGAAAAATAAATCACCAGTGAACTAGAATGCATGTTAGGATTTAGTTAGCACAAGATATCCAGCAGCACAGTGCACACTGAAGGGTTTTATAATATTCTGAAAAAAAACTTAATTATTTTGGTGCTCTCAACTGAACTCGCAAACATCACTGTCCTTGGATCCAAATGTAGCTACCATATTTATGCAGAAAAACGTGAGTTCTTCCAATGAGTGTGTTCATTGACATTGACAAAGTGGTGTAAAAGGGAATATGCTTACATCTGGTTTGGGAGAACCTGCTTCCTAAAGCTTTCACTGACCTCAGAAAATGCATCTGACCTCAGTCTTCATTACTGTGAGATAATTTGCTTAATGAAATGTTGGTAGGGGCTACGAGGCTCAGTAGGTGAGAGGAAAATAAACCGAAAAGAATGTGGCACCAAGTTTAACTAAATTCACCTAACATTTGTTGAGCAACTATTATATGCCAAGAGATGGGGATAAAATACTATGAGTACTCTACCCTAAAAAAAAAAAAAAAAGATAAAGGTGTTAGAAGTGAGAGATACCCTCTGTCAAAAAAAAAAAATGACCTAAATGAAAGATCTCTGCGAGTGAGATCCCAGTGGAAAGAACAGGTCATCAAAGAAGGAGGTACCTTTCTCTGAAGGGAGGAGAGAACTTCCACTTTGACTACAACCTTGTCTAAATATGATCAGAGTCGGTGAGTCGGTGAACTCAGAAGGCTTCCATAGCCTTGGCAACTCATGACAAGAGCCTAGGGAGATTACTGATGCCACAAACAAGACAAAGACAAGAAGAAAGAGAATGATCAGCAATGACCCCAGAAAGATGAAGAGAGTGTTGGATTTGGGGGCTCTCGTTTTGACATCTCCTGAGGAGGTTAACTAACAAAAAGTTCACCCGTTTTCTATATCCTTAACTGGCATGTAGAGAAAAAGGGGAAAAATTGTGCTTTTAGAGTTTCAAGGTGTGTGAAGATACTCAGAAGCTTTATTCATTAAGTAAGTTAATATGAAAGGTCATCGCAGGTTTTGCTTATGGAAATATTTCTCAGAAAATGACAAAATCTAAAGAAGACCCTAGATTCACAGCAAATGTGTCAGAAGAAAAAAAGTCAGTTCGTGCATCCTTTCTTTTTTATACAATTTATAAATGCTTTTTCCTCTCTGAGAAAAAGTGTTTCTTCTGTACTGGTTGAGGCAATCCATCACATTCAGCAAAGTCATGGTATCTATAAGTACTCATTACAATGTCTCCTTGAGAAAATAAAGGGTGAAGATGGCAATTTAGTGTGGGTAAAACGGTTTGTTGTTTATGTTTGGTGCATCCTATTCTTCAGGGTTTTTTCCCTTAAGTTCCAGGAATTTTCTTGGCATTTTAAAACTATGTAGATGTGATTTAAAGGCATCCAGATGCTTGCTTAGCTAGAAAACTGGATGCGTCAAATCTGTCTGACAGCACTGGTTTCTAACGCCATGCTATGGCTTGGATACTAGTTTGAATGAGCTAAAGGCTTATGTGTTAAAGGCTTAGTCCCTAAAGTATTGTTAGTAGCACTAACAGAGCAGAAAACTTGATCTAATCATCATGTTTGGAGGTGGTGCTATTGGGAAGTGATTGGATGGAATGAGGTGGAGCCCCAACATGACTAAGTCCTGGCAGCTTTGTAATAAATTGTATAGCATTGACTTACAGTTTCCCTGTCTCTCTTAGTTGCCTCAAAACTCAGCTATCAACATCGTCACCAGAGCACAAACCAATGGGGCTCATTCAGTCTTGGACTGTGAACCTCCAAAACCGTGGACCAAAATAAAATTCTTTTAAAAAGTTAATTGCTTCAGGTATTTTGTTGTAGTAATGGCAAATTGACTTTTTCACACCCTAGATCTCTTGGGCATATATAAAGGTCAGTATCTCTATTCATAATATACAGATTGCTTATACTTGGTTGCCACTGGAGAGACATGGAGACGGGAGGCATTAGGGGATGCCATCCATCATGCTGTTACAAGCGCTTATGACTCTCACTGGTGAGAGCAAATTTGTGGACGAAGATCTGTTGTTTCTTTCTAGTGCCTTATCATGTCTGGGATGAGGAGAATTGTGACTTTTACCCAGCTGTGCTCAACACTAAAGCCTGTAACAGAAATAGCAATCACACTGGTGGGACTTGGTGCTGGGGGAATTCTGTGTGCTGGGAGCTGGAGGGAGGCCACCAATTCATTTCACATATATTATTTCTCCAGGAAACACAGCGTAATTGAGGACAATTTTCCACCATGAATTGCATCATTAGCTAACACAGGGAAAGTGAAATGCTGTTAACTTTTCTTTTTCTTCTGCAAAGCTGATGAACTGAAGAAAACAGAAATGAAAAGTTTAATATAATTTTTTCCAAGGATATATGTTGAAAATCAGAATCAAAACACTTTTACACGGTAATAGAAATCCCACATTTTAATACATTGCCATGCACATAAGGAGTCAAGTAATGCTGAATACAAAATAGTCAAATATACAAAATGATAAAGCAGATTTTCAAGCCTGATAGAGATCATGCTCACAGACACAAGGGGGCAACAATCTGTACAGTTTCATTTTTATCAATTTAAAAAGAATCATGCCCACCCCCCACACCCCAGCTCGTCTTGAGGACAATCCCAAACAGAAGGAAACATTATAAGAAAATACAAAGGCGACTCAAAGGGACTTGGCAAGTTGATAGCTGCTTAAGATATGGAAATCAGGGGTTCAAAATTGTGGTGCACAGTAATTCTTATGTTTAGAGAAAAATGTTTCTCAACATCTTCTGCCCTGGGAACCCAGGGAACTAAAGTGAACATGCAACAGAAAAGGCACTCTTGTTTTACCACATAACTCCTCCTCCTAACTCTAGTCCTGGGAATTTGTCAAGGGTGCACAGCAAAAAATAAAATAAAATAAAATAAAATAAAACCTACGGTTGAGGGCCATGAATGAAGGAAATATTTCATTAGCTTAACCACTCTTCGGGGACCAACAGAATCAGACAGTTGGTTTAACTCCTCATTCAGGGAAGCTATAAAAATATCTACCATCTATATAATCTTCTGGGTTATGAAATGTGCTTTTAGCCATGTTTGTGAAAGCATGAAATGGTTTGTTTTTCATCATATACTTTCCCCCTCAGACCTGTGGAGAACACTGGTCTTAGATTCAGTTGATGATTGTGTGATTTTTTTTTTTTTTTGCTCCTGGGTGAAGTCATTCACTAAGGCTGTTTGGTGTGGCTGTCTGCTTCCCAAGCTGTAACTTCACACTTGGGTTGGTCTGCTCCAACCGGAGACCTGGCAGTCTTTGCGTCTCCTAAGCCACGCCTAAGGTTCCCTCCCTCAGGAGATCATGAGGCTCTAAGTCTTTGGGAGGTGGAGAAGTGGAGATAAATGGAAACCCTGGCCATATGCTCTGCAGACCAACCTCAGTATACTGGAAAAAGCATGTGTGTGCGCGTGTGTATGCGTGTGTGTGTGCGTGTGCATGTGCATGTGTGTGTGTATAAAATGCTGATTGTTACTTCCTCGTCCTTCTTTCTTTTTCCTTTCTGAATTCCAGAATGGAGGCTCAGTAATAACTGCTTCGAGGAGAAAGCCTCAAGCAAGGGAAATGGATCACTGAATGAAGCCCCAAGCCCAGCTCACCATAATAATTACACAAATTGTGGTGGCACAGAACAGCGTTTTCTCTTAGCTCATTTTGGTTTCCAAAGAGGCCTGTCTGCTGAGTAAGGACAGACAGCATCCCAAACGGCTGAGCAGAGGTCCCAGAGAGATTGGGTAAGTTCTCGTCCAGCATTTTTAAAAAGATTTATTTATTTGTTTGAAAGACAGAATGGCAGAGAGAGGAGAAACAAAGAGAGAAAGATCTTCCATCTGCTGGTTCACTCCCCTAAATGCCCATAATAGCCAGCCCTGGGCCAGGCCACAGCTAGGAGTGAGGAATTTCACCCAGGTCTCCCAGATGAGTAGCAGGGACCCAAGTACCTGAGCTATCAGCTGTTGCCCCCATCATGCACATTAGCAGAAAACTGGATAGGAAACAGATGTGGGACTTGGTCCCAGGCACTCCAATATGGAATACCAGGGTCCCAAGAGGTAGCTTAGCCTAATCTCCTGTTCCACAATGCCTACCCCTCCACTACTCTTGAATTCAGAATATTACCTTCCCCTGTATCACAGCTGTGCCAATCTCCACAAAGTCCTAAGAATAACTCAAGTATATAAACCACAACAGATCAATATTTTCTTTTCTCTGGTGCATTTTACTGCTAATATGTAATTTTGTTACCATATTGATCTTTTCTAAAATTTTGTGTAAAGCTATTTAATTCAGTGCCTAATGATATTAAATAGTTGAATTAACTGGAACTAGAGTAGTATGATTTAGTGATATATGAATTTTGGTGGAATTAGTTTCAAAACATTGATGCTGGTTTGGTTTTTCAGCAGGCTGGTTAAATCTGTCCCAGTTATGATTGAGACTTGGAGCATAAAGTCAAAAGCTGGCATTATGCAGCTTTCTGTAATATGAGTGTCTTTCACTAGCCAAACTGTGTATCCTCAAGCATGGCCTTGTAAAGACATTAGTTCTGTATTTGTGAAGGAAAGAGAGTGGTAGAGAAACCATTCAGAGCCCAGAGAACCTTACAATCACCTATGTGTGAACTGAAGCAAATGGAACCCCTGACTCTCCATGGGCGCCCAAACAGGGAAGAGGCTAAGACTTCCCATTCTGGGGATCTGAGGTGGAAACTGAATAAGAATGAAAAAGATGCAGTTTCAGTGTTCAGACATTAGTATCCTCTTCCATGCCACATTCTCTTAAAGCTTTCCACCTGTTAGCAAGGACATTTTTGATGTGAAAAAGAACTGGGCTGTGCGTTTTTAAACCTCTGCAGCTGACATGTGGGGAGAACCTTCTTGGTCTTCTCTCAGATGCACTGAATGGATCTAGATCTAGGAATTGTCAAAAGTGGCCAGAGAGCCAGCAGACAGCTCCCAAGGCAAACAGACTAAAGCTAGTTAATTGTGGTTAGAAATAGAATGCAGGAAATATAATTAACATTGATTTAGGGGTCACAGAATCAAGGACGAGGTGGTGCTTAAATTCCAAATCACCTTTTTTGGAATTATGCTTTAATGAAGGAGTTTATGCAGTGCTTAGATAGGTGTTTTCATGGCATCTGCTCTTTCTTACAGGTTGGGCTACCTCCCAAGGAGATGAGAGAAGACCGTCACCAATTTGTGGATGGGACAAGAGAAGTTCCTTCATGCTCCGCACATTTAATGGTGAATAAGATTTTCTCCAAGGTTATCTTCAAGAACATTGGCCCTACTCCAAGCAAAATCATGACCAAGTAAGAGTCTCCTGTTTTAGGCTTTGTTTTAGCAGAGAGTATATGAATAATACATTTTTACAGAATTTGAGGGGGGTGGGATATTTGTAATTAAAAACGACCACACAAAACAGATCTGTGCACTCTTGCACATCAACCTAGCCTGGAATTCCATGTTTGGTAGCTGTGCGTCTCGATGCAGCAAAACCACAGAATTTTTCCTTTGATTCAAATGACTGCATTTTTTAAAAGGCTATTAACAATGCGGGATGCAACCAGGAGAGTCTTCAGTGTTTTAATTGTTTTAGGTATTACTACATCCAACATTGGATTAATTTAATAGCCTCTTTGTAGTTCATGTCAGCAGGACTGTTTCTAATTCTCTGCACATTAGGCAAAAAGGCCTTGGTTTCAGAACCTCTGTAAGCTCCTAGGAATACATTGGCTTGGAATATAACATCAATAAAAGAAACAAGTAACCACATAAAACTCCCAAGCCACTGGCTCCCAAACATGAAAAGAATTATGTAGAATCAGAACTAATGTCTAAGTATATACAACATTAAATTTAAGGTGGTCTTCCGAAAGTTCAGGGAAAATCTGTATTATCAAAAAAATCTATAGCTGGATTTCAAAATTTTGCAAAAAAGTAAATTATCTTTTCATCTGACTTTTTCCACAAGCTGTTTGGATTCGTTTCATACGATGTCAGATAACTAATTCAGCGCTAGTTGCACAGTGACTTTTTACTGGTCTTAGTGCCTTCTAATGTTTGGTATTATTGGGGAGGGGAGGCTCGAGTTAGAATGCGTGAGATGTTTCAAGATTTTTAAACAGCCTCACAGGCTAATGGAACCACAGTTTTACAGATCCTTGTACACTCATTTTCTGCTCTTTCATGGAAGGCATTTTGTTGTCGGGCAGGAGGTCAAAAACCTACCTAATGCCCAATAACGATGCCCCTTTACATCTATCACTTGTACAGTTCACCCTAAAATATTACTACTTGGGGAACAGTGCTTGTCCCTCACTCCCCAGGCTGCGTGCCTTCCCAGCCAACTACCTTCCCTGTTGAGTCAAAGTGAGGGCCAGAAGGCAGCCAACACAGATATCCTCCTGTTTGCCACCTTCCCAAATAAGAACGATTTATTAGTTTTTCTTTTGATTGAGGCATGGCACAACCTTCCCTATGTGTTTGGCCAGCTTTTCCTCAAGCTTCCTGCAGCTTCCAAGATGCTCCCTGTCTCCCAAAAAGTGCCTGTCCCCAGAACAAAATAAGGACATGAAGGCCTCTTTTACCTTGAAGCTGTGCGGTGGTGTTGGCATCCTGTGCACTGATAACCAGAATTCACAAGACAGTTCCTGGTCCCAGGGTTACAGGCAGATCTGAGGAGCTGGAGGGGCAGGACCTGCTCGTCTTTGAAGTAGTGTCCCCGATTACCCGGGCTCCCCATGCTTCCGTTTGATTAGCGGCACTGACAAGTCACCACCCAGAGAAGAGACCCATCTCCCATTGCTGTCTGGGCAGCAAGCTGTCACCAAGAGCATGCCTAAGAAGGAATTATTAGTAGGGACTGGGGAGAACAGATAATGACTAGGCTGCTCTATTTGAGTTCTTTCTAGAATACTTAAAATCTACACACACCACTCTGTTAAACGAAAGGACGATGAAAAGAAAAAAAAAATCACAAAACAAAGCAAAAACGGAGGGGTGGAAGGGACTGTGGGAGAGGTGAAGAAAACCAGCCTTTAAGAAATAAAGGAATTTATGTCACTTTCAAAGATTAGATTTTTAAGGAGAGTCTACAGTAGCTTTAAGTCTAGTGGTCAAGAAACAAAATTACTCTAAAGACTGCAGAGGAAAACATCACAGGAAAGAGGCTGCTAATGCACTGGGAAGAGGAGGTTTTGGTAAAACTAAAGTGCTCTGGGCATCTTGAAAACTTTACTTTCTTGAGACTTTCATTGTTGTCTTCCCAAATTAATTATCTAACATTTGCAGATGAGGGAAGCGGTTTGGTTTGCGAATAGCAAGGAGGGAAATCCATGGAAGTTTTTACTCTTAGTTTGTATTCTCATGTAAGGTGGGGCTGCTTCCTTTCCGCCCTGAATGTTGAAAATGGCAGAACTTCCTTAGAGCTAAGGACTGTGTGCTTCTGTCTGGGTGACTGAGATGCGACTCTGGAGAGAAACGTGGCGTGTTGACCCGTATTCTGGAGGTAGAAGTCAAGTCTGCGGGTGCACAGTTCACAGAGCTGGAGCAGGGATTCACCACTACCCATACAGGACGTTGATAAGATCTCTATCCCCCTAGGTATGTCTTACCCTACTGAAGTGATTCATTCGCTTTTTCCCCTAGCAGAGCTGCCAGTGCTCTGCATGTTTAAATCCAGTTCTGGAGCTTGAACAAGTTAATCCCCTTGGCATCCTTAGAGAGACTGATAATTATTCATTTTGTTCATTCCCAAGAGTGCCTTTCCTGCACAAATGTGGGTGTCAGCCTTTTAACAAAGGGTGTAGCATAGGTTTAAGTAAAAGGAAAAGTTGAGCATCAACAGTATACAGCCCTTACACATCAAAATATTTATTCCTTGCCACCCTCAAACTCACTTCCCATGAAACAAAACTCACCAGAGCCACTCCTGCATTTCTGGGAGGTAAAATTTCCACACCCCTCTTAGGAAGAAGGTCCCACGGGAAGGGACCGTTGGTAATCACAGACCATCATCTTGTAGCCAAGAGGTCAAAGCCTGAGAAGAAAGTCATTTCTCCATTTTTTTTTTTTTTTTTTTTGCTGGTTTTGCTCTTCACTGCTCAGATTGTATGCCATTATGTTTCCAAAACTATCCTCCAAATGATTCCAGAGGTTGAGTTTGGAAAACAGTAGTAGTTCATATGCAAATATGTGCTTTGTTCCGGCATTAAGGCATTTTTACAGACTGTCTTCTACTGGGCTCTTTAATAGTCTTTATTTTATCTTTTCCTGTTTCCATTTTCACTCATCATCTTTCAAAAATTCTCCTTCGACTACAAAAAAAAATCTAGGAAATTACTCATTTTAACTATTTAGGATATTTTGCAAAAAGTCAAAGTAACAATGCACTAACATCAGTTAACGGACATCTGCACCCTAAAGCATGTCTTGCTTTCCAAGGGTGTTAGCAGTCGTCTCAGCATGCCCTGGGCTAACCCAGTTAATTCCCAGCTACACTAGCTCAGTCTCTGGCAGTGATTCTTTAGGGTTCATCAGGCTCAATTTGGTGTCCCCAGGACCAGTTATGGAACTGGAGCTTTAGCGAATCCATCATAGCGATGAATAATTGTGCCTCTATAAGGGATGAGAATCTATGTGGCCAGCAGTGGACATCAAGGGAAGCAACTGAGAGCTGCTTAGGGAAGCACTGTGGGCCCTGGAAGGGTAGGATGTCTATGTGTGCACCGATGGGGTGTGATGCCTTTTCCTCCACTGCTACACCTTCAGGCACGAAATCTGCCTCCTGCCCGCTGTGCTTATTTCCCTGGGTCACTCTGGCAGAAAGTGAACGCTGTCTGGATTCAGCTTTCATTGTGGAAGACACAGGTAGTGATAGTGTTTGAGAGAAGGAATGTCTTTCCTGCATAAGTGTGGGTGTCAACCTTTTAACAAAGGGTTAAAAGCAGTTTTGTAATGGCAGGGGGTATCTGTCTTGTACACTGCTGTTACCCCAGTACAGTGCTTGGCTTGTGGTTGATCCTCAACACATGGCTGCTGGGTAAAGGAAGGAATGGGAGGAGGAGTAGTTCTGTTGCTGAAACTGGACTTCCTGAGATGGGTAGTGGAGAAGGGGATGTTACAGTGCTGGGCATTAGCAAGCAAGCAGGGTTTGGCTTCTTAGCTCTGGATTTGGAGACAATTTTGGTCTGCCGAGGGTGTGACGATCATGGTGTTGACCTCTTCAAAGGCCGGATCTTGGTGGTGACTTTTCCACTTCCTTCTTGGAAGCCCCCTTCTCCAGTTTCGCAGCCTGACGGGCCCGTGATGAATCACCCTGCTGGTAACTCACTCCCATCGCGTGTGGATCTCTCTCTCCTTCCCTGTCAGCTTTCCAAATCTCAGGCGGGGGCGGTTTCCAAAGGCTGTGTGTTTCCTGAGACCTTGAGAGGAGGCAGGCAACGAACATGGATTGGAGATACCCTCAAATGTCAAGTTTGCTTGTGTTGGAAGGGTTCCAGAAGGTGATCCATAGATTTTTAAAGGAAAGCCTCTGATGTCTGCCTGTTCCACACACAGTACACACTTTGCTGAATTTTTCATTCAGCCAAATTTATGTTAAAAACAAAAACAAAACAAAAGTAAAGCCTTTTGTAGGGCCAGTCAAGATGAACATTTCTCTCATGCTCCTAGATGAGCAATAATAACTGATTTGACAGGTTTCCCAGAACTGTGCTTTGTTCTAAGACATAGTAAAAAAATAATTAGCCATGGGAATAGACCCAGAAAGGATTAAAAGGGACTAGTAGGTTCCATACTGAGGAATGAACTTAGTGTGATACTGAACCCCTTTTCTTCTCTAGGCACACAAGTGGAATCATTTGATGTTTTTTCTGTTCAGAGAATTGTGATTTAAACTTGACCTAGAAATTTTTCCAAGGTGTTAAAGTGATACTACACAGGAAAACTGCATTCGGTAGCCTGAACCATCAATCCAGCGTGGTTTGTTGAATAGACAGCTGCTCCCTTTTTCTCTCTGGATGAAGTCTTCTTCATAGAAGGAGGAAAAATGTCCACTGGCCACACAGAAGCCTCCTGGACTGGAGGAAATGAATGTGCAAGTGGCAAGTTGTGCCTAGGTCCAAGGAAACAAGAGCTAAGGGATTACAGTCACCAGGCTCTCCTCTATTTCCTTCTGGTGCTACAAGTAATCCATTTATTCGGTAAAGTGTCAAGAGGTTAAGTCTAACAGTATTATGGCCATATTTACACCAATCTACCACAAATGACTTGGGATATGCTAGCAGTAGAGCTTGCCTTGGACAGTCTGAGCCAGAAATAAGATACAATTTATAAAAGAAAGAAGAAAATACTTGCTTTCTCACATGTACTGAACGTGCTGATTCATCTTGGTATAGTATTCTCCTATAAAGTGCTTAAGAATTGGACAGAAGACCTTTGGACATGATAACTAACATCATGGAGACATGTTTACATTCCTACCAGGGCATAAAATTGCAAACACTTCCACTGAGATTGCAGAACTGCTGTAATTTTTTCTAAAACATCATGCCATCTGCACACATAATAAAATAATCCAGTAGTTGCCATGCTAAAACAGGACCTCTAGTGAAGGGACAGGCAGCTCCCCAAAGGGAACTTGAGTTATGCACAGTGATGAAAACTGGAAGCAATTTCCCAGCTAATGGTCTGCCAATGACCACTTGGAATGAGTTGGCACTGTATATTATGCACCTCATTTTAAAATCTACAGCAAACTCAGGTTTTTTCCAAAGCCCATGATCTTGACTGAATGGGTGTTTTTTCAGTTAATCCGGTTAATCTGTCAGTGCTCCAAGGATATCTTCTGGCAGTGCCATGAGTTAGTCTTTCAGGAAGAGGCCGTGTTCATATCAACTGGCAGGACAGCAGCTTGGAAGGCTAACTGTGTTTATGGAGAACCCTCGGCTGAGGCTGCAAGAAAACAAAGGGGAAAACATGGTAAGTTCTTTCCTTTGTGTTCACAGATACTTACGTGTAGCAATTATCTTATTCAAACAAATCCTAACAGCCTTAGGTCAAAGAGAAAGCTCTAGCCTGGATAATGGTTACTCACCTCCAGGATGGATTAAGGTGCTTATTATATTCATGGGTAGAAGAGCAGAGCATAGAAGACACCCATCTCAGAGACAGGTGAAGCTGCCTGCAAGGGAGGGCAAAACCAGATCTTGGGGAACTGGCATCTGGCCTTATGATGGGTGCAGTTTGGGAAATCATTTCATATAATATGAGGCTTGGTACATCTACTTGATCTGGAACAAGATCACACTGGGAATGGTATGAGGCATTTGGGGATGGGAGCGTGGGTTTATCAGGAAGCTTTCTTGGGATAAAATCAAGAAGGAAATATTTGAAGCAGGACAGTTAGAGAGTTCTGAGTTTGTTAGCTGCAAAGTCATATTGGCTGAGCAGGTTAGCGACTAGATGGAAAGGAAGTCAATAAAATCTGACCAGAGATTGAACTACTCAAAATACAACCCTGCTAATGGCCTTGGGAATACTGGTGCAGATATATTTTCCTGATTATTTGAATTTTCATTTTCAAATTTTACTCCCTACAGTTTTTTATAAATGGAAACTCAATAATTAATTATTATGAGTATAATTGAATATTTTGTTCAGAAAAATATTGTATTAGCTTTGTTTCATACACAAAACTATGAGGTGATAGAAGAGAAGGATAGCAAGAGTTCTTGATATAAAAGAAAAAAACATGTCCTGGGTTTACAAATAAAACTTGCTTTCCAAAACATGAAGAGAGTGCACAAGTTGTAAGCAACTGTTTGATTAAAACCTGCTATTTTTGAGAAAAATGCAAAAACAGAAGGTACTCTATAAATGTATTAACATCAAATGGTAATATACAATTCTGATAGGTTGTATTGATAAGGTTGTAATGAAAGTAGAACTCTCATACGTTGTTGATGACATTGCAAACTGGAAAAATAACATCCATTTATTTAAAGACTAATATAAATGCATATTCCCTGACATGGTGATACCATTTCTAGGAGTATAACTCTAAGGAAGTAATCTCAAGAAAAGAAAAGAAGCTTTATGTACAAATATGCATGTGGAGGTTATTTATAACCAAGGAAAAGCTAGAAGCCACCAGGCCCCTATTGTTGAAAATTTAGGTTAAGTAAATTATGGTACATTACATGGATATGTGATTATGTGGTCATTAAAGTAATATTAATTAGGATTATAGCATAACAACGTGGTAAACAGCTGTGATAGACCAAATTATAAAATTTATACACAGGAACAGCAAAGAACTGTAGGTGAAAATGTTGAAGCCACAGGGATTTTTATTACTGTCATCGTATTTTTTGCAAAACAACTAAAAAAATTAGTCTCAGAGAGGTATAGACTTGAACCATGAGCACAGATTAAATAAAGTATAATGGCTATTTTCATTCAGTAATAGTACCTGGAAAATGGATACTAGGAACCATTCCAGCATTACCGAAATGGGGATAGAACCAATGTGAGCAAAAATCTCCTGTGTAGTTCAACCAGGAGACAAACTAGACAAACCAAGTGGGCACTAGGACACTGACATAGCATACTGTCTTTGTGACTTGGTAAAATAAGACCCAGAAAATGTATAACCTTGGAAAAGAGTTATTAAGCCACAAAGTATATGTTCAAAAGGGAATAATGAAAATAAGCAGTGAGTCCTAATGAACACTATACTTTGAATCCTGTCAAGAGTTGATAATGAGGTCACCCAATCATATTTTCTCCATGAACCTCTCATAGCTGAAAGATATAATAACTTTAGTGTCTAACAATACTTATAACCAGAGGTAAGCTGATCCTATTATACTTTCACTTGTAACCAATCTAAATACTCTTCTAAGTATAGGTAGACTTATCCCCATTTCATGGATAAAGAAATGGAGGCCCAGAAGCATTGTTAGTGCAAGGTCACAGAGCTATTGAGAATCAAAGCTGTGTTCAGAGTTAGGTGTACCCACCCTAATCACATAGAGCAGTGACAGAGACAAATATTTAAAGTCTAAGTATTTAGAATTGTTTTCATCCCTTTCTAAGTAGAATTCTATGCCTATCCATAAGTCCAGTCAGCACAATGAAGGGCCCTGCTGGGCAGAAGAGAGAATTGGAGGCTGAATAATTTATAATAGAAAGAGCAGAGAGATAATCCTATTTGACATGAATATAAACAGAAGTAGAGGCCAAAGAGAGATAACGTGGGGGCTTAGGGAATGACATAGGAGGTCTGGGGTGGTGGTTGCCAAGTGTGTGTTGGGGCAAAATGTCCCCTGTGCTGTCTTCCCATGATGTCTAGTACATCTTTCCTTCTGCAGTTAGCATTGCATTTTTTTTTTTGAATGGGTCAGCATGTTGAGTTGTGCTTTATGAGCAAGGGCCATGACCAAACTAAAACTTGAACCTTAATTCTCCTGTCTTACATGCATGAGATAGGCTCTACTAATATCACTTTGCTAGGGACTTTTCTTACCCACCATGGGAACTGTGTCTTTGGGTATTTAAAAGCTACAGGAGGTTAAAATGCAGACTCTCAGGTTGCCTTAGACAGCTAAGTCTCTGCAAAAGGGGGATTGTGTGAGCATCTACACAGTGTACTTTTGGGCTCCATCTCCTGTGCTACAGCCATCTCAGGCTCCTTTCAGCTCCTCATACGCACGGGGTTGTTCATGGCCTTTGTTCAATCTCCCCTTCTGCCCAGGATGCCTTCTTTGTATATTGCCTTTGCTGTGTGCAAATTTGGCTTCTTGAAATTTTTTTAAGTTTATTTATTTTAAAGGCAGTGCAACACGTTCCCTTCTCCCCCCTCCACAAACACAGAGGAGAGTTGTTTCACTCACCAAATGCCCACAACAGCCAGGACTGGGCCAGGCAGGAGCCAGGAGCCAGTTACTCCCTCCTGGTCTCTCAAGTGGGTAGAAGGGACCTAAATAACTGAGTCATCGTCTACCACCTCCAATGGTTGCATCATCAAGAAACTGGATTGGAAGCAGTGGTGTGAGAGCCTTCACAGCAGTTGAATGTACCCCAACACCCACTCTGACTTCTAAATTTTACCCCACACCAAAATAACACTTTATTTTATCTATCATTCTTCCCTGATTGTTTGAGGCCAGTACTGTATCTTAATGATGCATCTTCCTAATCCAATGTCAGGTATACAGAAGGTGCTTAAAGTCTTTTTTTTTTTGGTTTACTTTAGTAACTAATTTTGTATGAGTCCACCCCATAGCTCAGATCTGTGTAAAGAAGGCGGGCATTGCCTTCGTTTCCTTCTCTACATCTAACAGCTAATCAAGGAAGATACCATGCACATCCTGCCAAAGCATGGATTTTGCAGCTAACAAATACAAAGGGCTCCTCTTCTTTACCTGGTAGGTCAACATTACTAGCACAGCCTTCCTGGAATTGACCATATTTAGCCCAATGGTTTCAGAATCTGGGGTGAGTGGGACGCACTGGAGTCCAATGGTTAAGAGCACAGGCTTTGATGGGTCTTGGTTCATATTCTGTGCTCTCCACACACCAGTTATAATAGGTGTCAAAAACACAAATTTTTCCAAACTTCAATTTATTCATCTTTAAAGCAGCAAGCATAATCCTCATGTCACTTGAGTTGCTGCGATAATAAAATGAGCTCCTAGGAAAAGTACTTTGCATGGTGTTTAGTAAATAGTAAGTAACTATGTAACTGCTGCTATTGTTTTACTTTTTTTCTTTTTTTTTTAACTTTTATTTAATGAATATAAATTTCCAAAGTACAGTTTATGGATTACAATGGCTTCCCCCCCATAACGCCCCTCCCACCTGCAACTCTCCCCTTTTACTTTTATTACCATCACAAATACCCCACATTCCTTTGAGACATAAGATAGAAATATGCCAATTTGCATATGCCAATATGGCTGCAGCAGGGCCAGGAAAAGCAATACAATGCCTCAGAGGTCAAGCTATGCACCCCTTGGAGGCAGATAGCACTCCTCCTGCCCGTCAAGGCCACTGTCAACACACACACTGGCTTCCACTTCCTCCCAGATTAGTGCACACATGAACAGACAGTTTGTTGACAAGGAGAGTTTGAACACTTCAAAGGGAGGAAGTGACAAGCAGGAGGCAGCAGCCAGCCTGGCCCAGAGCTCGAGAGCAGATCCCAGACCACGGTGTTCAGCGCCAGCTTTCCTCACTCCAGCAGCAAGGGCTGAAGAGCTTGGTGTGGTTGGGGAAGAAGAGAAGATGTTATACCCAGGTGGCACTGCATCTCATGGCAAGAAATTAGACTTCACCCTTTGAAAAGGCTGTATAGCAGGTTCCCTTTAGAAAAAAGGGGCTGTATCTTCCACAGGAAAGTGTCTGGAGATTGAGCTCTCTGAGGTGCACCTGAGCTGCATTTGGATGCGGGACAATTTAGATCAGGTGTGAAATGCACAGTCCAAGTGAGCGAGATGCACAATAGCATAAAATAACAGCTAGTAAGCAGAGCTAACATTCATTGAGCAGCTACGCATTGAGCAATCACACATTGAATCCTCATTGCCGCTTCTGCATTGCATTACTCCTATCAACTAGAGAAAAACCAGGACAGCTTCATTAGCTTGTCATTGCCATACTTCTGGGGTGCATAGAGCTGGGACTAGAACCCAGATCTCTTCACACCACGAGGCTTTCCTGACTCAATACGAAGAAATGTATGTTAAGAAAACAATTTTTTTAGAAAAAAAGATTATTTAATTATTTGAAAGGCTGAGAGACAGAGAGAGAGAGAGAGAGAGAGAGAGAGAGATCTCCCATCTGCTAGTTCACTCTCCAAACTGTTGAAATAGCCAGGAGCCAGGAACTCCATCCTGGTCTTCCACATGGGTGGCTGAGGTCTAACTACATTGGCCATTTTCTGCTGCCTT